TTACTCTTCACACTCTTCACAACGAAAACACGCCTGATGAGAAACAATACGAAAAAATTATTTAAGTATACCGATAGTAATAGTAATAATAGTCATACAGAATAAACTGAATGATAATATTAATGTTCATGACAATGATGATTTTAGATAATGATAATATCAACAACATCAACAGCAACATTAGTGATATTCCCAAGATTCATATGCAGATGGGACAGTGGCGTAATGGGGAAGTCTCGGGCCTTACGGGTCCTACTACCATGAGGGCCGTTTAGGGCTCAGTGGGGTCGGAAGCCTAATGGGATGCTAGTGTAAATATTCGGCTTCTAGGTTTACCAACCCATGGAGAGAGACGTACAAATGGAAAATGATGATAATAACAACAACAACAACGACGACAACAACAACAACAACAACACCGATTTTAACATATTAAAGCACCATTTTTCAATTCAATAAGACATTAACTTTCTTTCACTACAAACAAAATACAGTAAAACAAAACATATTAATAAAACGATTACCTACGTTTCTTGTTTTCCCTGCTACAGCAAAGGTTGATGAATGTCACAAAATGAAAATATCACATTATCGTATAATATAAAGGCTTCAATCCCTTTTTTAACTAAACTCGGCGTGAATGAGACGTCATTTGATAGTATCTTCGCAGCAACATTTAGTCCTATTTTATTTCCATATATGTTGTGCCTATATATAGTCATGTTGTTCCCATATATAGTCATGTTGTGCCCATATATGACCAGGATGTCATGTCATCATGATTATATCATAAGCATGTCACATATTTTTATCATATAAAATGTAATGGTTTTGGCAGGGCTACAGCAGAACGAGTCACTGTACTGTCTATCCCTGGATTTTAAGCCACTTTAAACAATAACATTTGCATTTGTGATGTGTGTAAATAGATCAATGTATATTTTCAAAGCAGAGACGATGTCAATTACACTTAGTAAAGGCAAATTATTTTACACTTTCATAAATAGTAATGATGATGATGATGATAATAATAATAATAATAATAATAATAATAATAATAATAATAATAATAATAATATTAATGAAAATAATAATAATAATAATAATAATAATAATAATAATAATAATAATGAAAATGTGTTGTGTGCAGGTATCAATCCGTAAAGATGCTCATGTCGCATCGACATCACAGTGCACTTCAAATTTTGAACTACACTTATCTTAAAGTCAGGCTCCGGAGGAAACAATATTTTTGATATGTTGTAGAACTGATTTTTTTAAGACAGAAAAAAGGGTAGTTTGATCAAAAACTGAGCAACGGTGAATGAGATACAGATGTTTGAATATTTAAACACTGGTGGGAAAAAGGTGTAAAAATGGGCGGTTACGCTTACCGTTCCCCAGTTTTTCGTCAAACAAATTTTTTTCTGTCGTAGAAAAATCAGTTCTACAAAATATCAAATTTTTTTTTCCTCCGGAGTCTGATTTTAATAATAAACATTAATTTGTTACAATTTATTTAATTTATAATTTAATTATTAACAAAAGTTTACTCTATAAGCAATCCACATTACTTATATCAAAAACAATGCCTACACAATTATTGACACGTGATATGTGTGTGTGATGACGTGTGTAACGTTCTAAAACATCTCAAAATTGCTTAGAAAAAAGCTCAACATTTCCCTTAGATTTCTAGGCACTAGGAGTATTCTTGGACCTCTCCAGACTTTTTTCCCCAGTAGGCCGAGATCGCATCTCGCTGGGCCTCCCTCCACTGATATGCTTAATTTTTAGTGAGACTGTTCACTAAGTTTTTAACCTATAGATTAAAAGAAACTTGCTGTTGTCTATCGCCGTGTTTAGCTCCCTTAAACATAAATTATACAAAGTGTTCGTACCGGTGTAAAAAATGTCCCCAATGATAAAATTCAGAAATAAAAATGTTTTTTTTTTTTTTTTTTTTTTTTTTTAATCTTCAAACAATTTGAATACTGTAAAATAGCAAAAAAGTATTCAATAAATCAACATAAATTATACTCATTTTTGAAAAATCTACCAGTAATGTCATTGTCACATAAGTTTATATTAGGCTTACTTTTTGCAGGAATAAAAAAATAATAATAAGTAGTCCACAGATTTTAATAAAGTAATAAATGACATGTTGGCACTATACTGTGATTGTGTAAGTGACAACTAAACTATAATTTAATTGGTCAATTTTTTTAAAGATTTTTATTGGTTGTGAATCTGTACTTCAGCCAAATAAAAGCCTTTGGTTTTTAAAATACCATATAAAGAACAACCTAGTATTCTAGGTGTTTTTGAGAATTATCTCTCTGGTTTATTTGTTAGTGATTTTTTAGTGAATAAGTACAGAACACCTCCATTATATATTAAAGATTTAGTTTGTTTATTTGGTGATATAATCAGAAACTAGCGTTATACCTTATTTTACGGGAACATTGACTTGTTTATTGTTAGTTTATCAATAATCAGAATGAAGTTAAAAATGTCTGCAAATTTATTCTATTTATTTATTTATTTATTGAACATATACAGGATAACATATGAGGAGGAAGTAACAACCTGTTTTACATATGGTCCTGTTCTGTGATACAAATTACAGTATAAAAATCAACAACTGAAAATAAACTTAATTACAAATAGGGCCTATGAATAAAAAATATTCTAAAACACAGAATTCATACGATTTTGTTAAAATACATCGAAGAAGTTAAAATCACTAGGCAATGTAAAAAATGTATAATAAGAACCTATTTGCAAAATCAAAATAGTAACATTCTGTAGTAGAATATTAAAAAATGAGTCAAGTATTTAATTGAAAGTGATTTTTAATGTAAGTCATTTTAAAAATTAAAATAAATTTAGAAAACTAAAAAAAATTAAACTTTAAGCACAGTGATTACTAAAATCTACAATGATTACTAACCAACATGCATGTTATCAGAAGAAATGAATGAATTAAAGGCTGTCTCTTATACACATCTTTTAAGCTAACTATCCTACAATCATCAACATAGTCATAATTATCGACATCACCAATATCATCATCATCGCCATCATTATCATCATCCCCACCACTACCATCATCATTATCATTATCATTGTCATCATCGCCATTGTGGTTGTTGTTTTTCTTTTCCGTATTGTTTTATATATGTAAGACTACGGTTCCAGCTTTCGGCTGCTTGTTAGCGGGCTTGTTAGTCAATTTGAGTGAGTGAATGAATAAAGTATACATGAATATACTAACATCACCATTCCCACCGATACCATCATCATCATTATCACCCTGTCTCTTATACACATCTAGATGTGTATAAGAGACAGTCATACGATGTGTATTAAATGTTTTCTGTTTATTGAATAACGGTTTGTGTCGGCGGGTAAAGAAGGAATAGGCCTACATCACTTGTCTGGATACCATGAAATGTTATATTAATAAATAACAGCATGCAGTAAATTTACATCCACTTTAAATCCATTTAATGTAACATTTCGTAATTTCGCCCTAAATTAAAAAAAAAAATCTCAATTCCACAATAAGTGCAAATAAAGGTGCCGTCTCCCGTAGAGTCGCAGGATGGAGTCAGGGAATCGGCGGGAAGCCTCGCACACTCCTGCGGCAAGCATGCACTAAACTCGTAAAAAACATAAACCTTAGGAGACCAAACTGACATTTTCCGTCCAATAAAAGACTAGGCCTATACCTTTAAAATATATACAGTAGTGTTTTATTTTGTTTTGTTTTTTTGTTTTATGTTTTTTGTTTTTTTTTTCTATTTTTGTTTTTCGTTTTTTGTTTTGTTTTTTGGGGTTTTTTTTTAGTTTTGTTTAGAGACTACAGCCATGAGAATAATTTGCTCACAAAAGTGTTTTACAAGTGTATAACACTGCTTCCCTCATACCGTTTGTGTTGGACGTTGAGGTTTCTATTTTGTAATTTAACTGAATAATCAAAATTTAGAGCTCATTCAATTCTTACCTTATGAGCTTAAAATATTAGATGTTTATAAACTTTATAAATCATATTATATTTCTAAATATAATATGCTCTATGAAAAGATTATTTTCTAAAGATTAATTTATGATCTT